TCGGTGCCTCTCGGCCGCATACTGCTCCATTGAGTGCCAAGAGACTGACTGGCGGATACATCGACTCTTGTGCAAAAAATTTAAGAAAGCCTCGGCTGATGGATTTACAGCTCGTCCATCGCCTAAACACTACCTTGCCATATACTTTCTAATGAGCGAAACTAAACCAAGGCTTGTGTAGGTTGACTCGAAGGCAGATGAATACGAGCAAGAGGAATACCCCAACAGCAATCATCCATCAAGTCGTACCACGACTCGATGTATAGCGGAATGGAATTAACCCTTGTAGGGCTGGATGAAATCATGGCCCGTCCCCCTATTAGGCGCCCAAGTAACCGTAAATCAATAAGGTTTTGCTGCACCCTACCAATCAAGTTATGTTTTACTACGGAAAAGCAATTTTCCATATCCTGACAAAACAGTGCGAAGAAAAACAGAGACCGCAAAATGAAAATACATACACAAGTTAAAAGCATGGACACTATTTGACCAATTAAGTAGTGGATACTGGTGTCATTGCAGTGCGCGAAATTGAGAACTATGTGCCGATCATTTGAGAATTCCCTATTTTTCTTCGCACCCCTTGTCTGATAGTGGGTCGACAAGGGGCAGCAAACCTGTTCGAGTTACACATACTTGTGTAAATGCGGGTGGTCAAATTATGTGTATACTCACTGAATTTACCCGTTGGTCACTAAAAGTAGAACCAAGGGTCTTTTTTTTTTTAAAAAAAAAAAAAAAAAAAAAAAGAATTAGCGATAAACAGTGTCTTATAGGGACTGATAAATACTGTGGCAGGGGTGGCCCAAGTCCTGTCCCTGAGCCTTTCCTTTGCAGTCAGCCTTCGCATTCTCGCCTTCGTTTCTGGTTGAAGGAAATAATCTGGATTGGGCGCTGCTGATGCTAGAGGAGAAGCTTATTTGTCTCGCAAACCGACCGTCGAGCTCAGTGGAATTACAAGTTGATTGACGCTGCGAATGCCATGGGTGTCAAGCTCCTTTCGCTGCCTCTACACTAATCCCCAAGAAGCATAGCTACTGACGGGGAACCTTCCGTCGCAGTTTTAGGAAGATTATGTGGGCATCCACGGTCTTGTTTTGCATGTCTGCGACTCAAGTCAACAAAGCGAATGGGGCAAGCAGGTGTGCCATGCTGACAGGTCTGATGGTCCAGCCAGCTTCAGAATATGAAATATCCCTCCTTACGTGAAATTTTTCGCCGAAGGAACAAACACAGTTCAGCGGAAGATTTGGGCAAGCACTCGCCTTACCAAAAGTTCCTCAATGTGTTAGTGAGGTTCTTTTGTCGAAATCATGACATGGGTAGACAGCACTCATGCAACTTTGATCCACTGCGGTCGCATGCTGAGCCGCTGAGTGACAATGCTGGCAATTGGTCAGGAGCTGTAAGCCCTGCAACTAATCAGACTTGAAACAAGGGCTCCGTACGTTCCCACTGCCCTTCAGACCAAACACCCTGTCTTTCGAACTCTCTTCCGTGGCCAACCTAATTCTGTTGCGACAGTCCTAACTTTGGCGACATCGTGGATGAGGCTAGCGAAAAGCCGTATGAGTTAAGAACTTCATTGTGTGGGGACTGTGACACATTTGATTGTGATGGCGAGATACGTTTCCACGTTAGGTATGCCAGCACAATGACTTCACTCAGTTCGCAGAGTCACAAAATCGAGTCCTAAGGTAGCGCCAGAAACCTACTGGTCTCAATATCGCTCTGAACAGTTACCAAGCTGACCCTGTGAAAGGCTCTCTGTGCTGGATCCTAGTCTTAGTATGGCCTATGGAGATCTGTTATTCGCTGGTAAGCCTGTCGGATATACGTCTTTGACATTGGCAGCCCGCTTTCTGGCTTCCGGGAACTCATCGGCTTTAAATCGCAAGGTAAAGGTACGCTGATGAAATTATCTGGGGCGTGACCAGGCATACACCAGATAACAGGAATCGAACTCTCACGATGAGGATCAATTATGTCCACCATTGCTGAACGCCTCGTGTCAAATCCGAGATGAAAATAGAATACATGAGGATCTAAGTTGAAACTAGAACCAATCAGTTCAATTGTGGCTGCCGCAAGGTGCCCCATCATGATCAACATACTTCGTCCTTTTCCGCGAATTTAAACCCCGGTGTGCATAGCTGCATCTCAAGGCCAATGTCGATGACACGATTGAAATACATAATCATGGTTCTAAATGTTTCGCGGCTTACTGATGTTACACATGACCATCCATATTTTAGCACTAGTTGAGAAGACGAGCTGGGCTCTGCAATCTCTAAAGATTATAGGATCCGTCTCAGTTCAGAGTAAACACCACGGAGAGCCTAGAGAGCAAAAAACACCGTAGCTTCTCGCAATTGGATAAAACACTAGATGGGTTGCTTTAGGATGGTCAGACTGCAATACTGCAGAATAGATAAGTACTGTATATACATGCTGTTCTGAAGGTATATAGAGGCCCCGAATCTGGATCTTGGTTCCCAATTATCGGGTGCTGAGATTTGAAATCCGGGAACCTCTCCCTGGGATCCTGAATTTTGCAACACGCTTTCCCATGGTTTGCTATATTAATATATACTTTACTGTTCATGTCAGTGTATAATCTGTGAAGCCCCCTTTTTCGTCCTAACACTTGATTAGAATAGCGTGGTTAATGCTCACAATTATCGACATCTAAACAAACCACTAGACAGACGCCAGGCACATGTAATTTGCAACCAATGCATCGAACGTCAACCGCTTCCAGATCAACGTTTCTAGGCATCCAAGACCTTCCAACCGCCAACCAGGAGGTTAGTGTAGATCCTGAAAGGATCATATTTGGTCCGAATGTCCTTGAGGCGCCTCAAGTTGGCACTTGGATAGCTCTGGAACACGGGTTGGCCATCTCCTGCGTCGTTCATGTATAAGTAGCCGCCAGCAATGCCATGAGAAGTGATGGTTCCCTCAATCTTGGCAATGGTAGCTTTGGCGAAAGCCCGCACCGTGTCGTCGTCACCAGCGTTCTGCCAGGACAGGTTCTGCACGATCCAGAAGTAGGGGGCATTGTTAGCGTCCACGCCTTGGGGGTTGCTGCCGCCACGACTGCGGCCATTCTCAATGAACCCTTTGGTGACGGGCTGAAAGGTAATGGAAGCAGTCAATCCAGCAATGTCTGCCAGTTGCGAGTTGGCATCTCCGAAAAATGTATCGTGCACAGTGGAAAGACCTTCACGATTGACCATGAAAGACGCAACACGGAAGCTGTAAAAGTATCAAGTTAGCGCTTGCGTCCATGACACGCGGTTGACTGAAGCGAGAGTCAAAACTTACTCCTGGCGAAGTCCATTGGGCTGCAGTGCGTCAACGGCACTGATATACGTAGCAAGGGCCCCAAACGCGTACTGATCAGCCACAGTCTTGAGCGACGTAAAGTTCTCAAACACGGTAGGAGAATTGGTCAAGGAGTCGTAGAATCTTGATGCCGCGTAAGCAATCATTCCAACGCTGGGGTAACCAACGATTGTAGGGATGATGGCGGCCTTGCTGTCGGCAGATCCGTATTTGCCAAAGTTGTAGACGGCATCGAGGTACTTGTCCTTGTCGGTCTCGTTATACTGCGCGATTCCGATCCAGACGCCGGGAGACGGAACGGTCCTGAGATCAAAACGCGTGACAATAGCGAAGGAATTGCCGCCACCTTTCAAAGCCCAATACAGGTCCGAATAGGCATTATCTGCTTTGGCCACCACAATGAGACCGCTGGAGAGGACGGCCTCGTATGCCACGACATTATCAGCAGCGAAGCCGTATTGGCTCGAGTGAAATGAAATGCCGCCTCCCAGCAGCAAACCAGCAACTCCAACATGGCCGACACGACCTCCAACAGCCGTCAGGTTGTAGGGCTGCAGATACGAATAAACGTCCCTCCACCGGTAGGCTGGCCCAACAGAGACGGTAGCATGATCGTGTGACAAAGCGAGAGTGCTTAGGTTGGAATTGGATAGCAACACGCCCGAGCTGCCGATGCTGTTATAGCCTTGGACAGGCATATGACCACCGCTGCGAACCGCGAATTTAGTCGAAGTCAGCGTCAGCGTGGTCACCGCGAAAGAGAGCTGCTGGGCATTTAGAGGCACAAAGACACATGCTGGTGTGTTGTAGGCTGTCGACGACCAGTACTGCGTCTGTGTTTCATACTTGTAGTTGTCGGAGCCCTCAAAAAAGGTATGGTCTGGGTGTGTGAGGCTCAAGAGCTTGCACGCAATTTTTTGAGAACCAGCAATTGCAGAAACAGGACCAGTAGCTGCTGCACATGCACCGTGATGAGGAACGGCGCATGCGAGCAGCCATGCGGCGAGGACTAATACGCGACCCATTGTATTACAGCTGCAATCCCTCTGAATCTGGGGCGCAGAAGACTGATGGCGGGTTACTCCGAAGGGAAAGAGAGAAAAGGGAAAGGATGGTGAAAGGGTTAGGCTGCACTGGTGTCAACACCTTTCTTTCATGTCAACTCGAGCTGGCGTGGCAGCAACGATGCGACGGCTTCGACGGGATGATCGGAACACATCGTCCTGGGCCCATGAATGACCTTGATGAACTTCATATGAGAAATTTCGAGCCCCCTTGTCCGGACTCCATGCGGCGTAGTTGCCCATCTATCGGAGCGAAGCGCGATACAGCGGCCCTTTGTGGCGTCCGGGATGGTGGAGCTGAGCATGGGACCTGCAGAATATCCAGCAAACAACTGGCTGAAGCTAAATCCTTCAGGTAAGGCTCCATGCGGGAGCAATTAATGGCCTGCAAGTTCAACGCCACCACTCAGAAGTTCTCCCTTCACCTCTCAGCGCTCGTTAGGGTGGTGAGAACTACTGCAAGTACCCAGCTGGGTTGTCGTTCCAGGCTGCCAGTGCTGTTGGGCGGTGCATTCATCTGCGAGTATTTAACCTAGCCACCGGAAAAATTGCCCCGTTTGCAGGGGCAGAAAATCGTCTTGCTCCTGGGATCAACCCTTGCCAAGAGGACCGGCCAACACCTCGACTGTCTCAGAGATAGCTTTTAGGAATTGCTGATAGGATGTAAAATGAAAGCTGAAGTCTCGGGAGATAATTGTTGCTCACGCCCACTCCGTCCGCTACAATTATCTTAACAACCACTATTGGGTGTTTGGCGTTTTCGACAATATTGACATTCCGGTTCTCAGACCAGCAACGGACACGCTAGACTCCAACCATGGCGTCCATTCCCAATTACACGGAGATGATGGTACGTGGGTTGCTCTTCTGGCCTGTGTAAGGTCTGAACAAGCCTATCGAGGCAAATCTCACCACCGCAATCTCTCTGACTATTTTCCACGTACAAGTTTTGCTGTCTTACTCTGACGCTGACGCTGTTCGCAGGTCCTCATCTGGGTGTTATGGGGCGTTGCAGTTGGCATGACTACATTTCGAGTTATCTTCCAATGGCGACTTCAGCGACGACTGCACGGAGATGACTATTTCGTCCTCGCGGGCCTTGTAAGCTTGACAGCTTTGACGGCAGTTATCACGAGGATCCTACCACAGTGGTTCCTTATAGCCGAGTACAGCAAAGCCCTCGTGGCAAATCCCAAGACACCTTCGCCCCTACCCGCGGACGAGATGAGAGCCCGGAATGTCATGTCGCTGAAGTTAATGTTCAGCCAGATGCTGCTGTTCTGGACAACCCTGTGGGCAGGTATGATCTCCTCACTGGACTGTCGAGGACAGCTATGCCAAACTGCCAATACCGAGACTAATACCAGTGTCATAGCTAAATTCTCCATTCTGTGGTTCATTAGACGGCTCCTTTACGGTTTGCCTAACTACATGCGCTGGTGGTGGAGATGCTTCGCCGCCGTCCTCACCCTCTACTTGGCCTGCATGCTCTCAAACTTTTTGACGTGCTCGCCATTGTACCGATATTGGAGCCCAGGTAGGTCACCAACGCAATTATCCCTGCATTATTCCACAAGAGACCAAGAACCACCAACTGATGCACTAATAGCTGGCTGCAGCCTACCGGATGACCTGCGGCGGGCCGATGCGTCGATCAAGTTTGCGACGAGTGCCGACATTGTCGCAGACGTATTAAGTATGTGACGCGCAAGATCATCTATAGTACGCAGTTTAACTAACAAACTTTTGCCAACATCACAGCCATGATTCTCCCACTTCACCTCTTGCGAAACTTGACCATCTCGCGACCACACAAGTTCGGGCTGGCCATCCTCTTCTCCCTTGGTGCCATCATCGTCGCCATCGCACTCGTGCGACTTGTTCAAGTCACGAAAGCTACGGGTGACTCGGCGGAGGATCCTACCACAATCGCCAATGGTCCAGTGCTGCTGAGCATGTGGTCGCACATCGAGTCTACCGTATCCATGATCGTAGCCACGTTGCCGGCTTTCCGTTTCCTCAGGAAAAGAAACGCCAACACGACGCGAACGACGAACAAATATTCTGTGGCTACAATTGGAGGCACTGGCGGGTCACGATCAAGACCATGGCAACATGGCGCAACCAACGAAGCAACAATACGGGAGAGTGATAGCCAGACGGAGCTGCGACCAGTTCGTGGTGAAGCCCTGTATATGAGAAAGTCAAGTTTAGATGGCTAATATGTAATTTTGCGCAGCCTAAAAGGGCATTTATTGACTACATGGTTTTTCGGTATTTGCTGTACAGTGGACTGGGGTTTTCGTACCATCAAGAAGCCTTTTCGGGATACTGGCAAGCGGGGGACAGAAAAACAGGGAAAATTCAAACGATCGGCACACAACTTCGTCATTACGCGCATCATAACACAATAACAAAATAACATTACAGCTTTATTTTAGGTTATCTAAATCAGCAAAATTGGCTTGTTTAAGTTAGCTAACTTATTTTTCTATAGGCCCAATGGCTCGTGTGACGAACCGTACACTAGTAAGGATTAGTATAGGGTAGATTCCCAAGGGATAAACCTAAAATAAGTTTTTTAGGTTTATATTAGCGGATAGGTTAAGAAACCTATGGGTAATAATATTATAATAATAGTTACTAGTAGAGATTAAAAATGCTTTTTAATTTATAAATATAGAACTATATTAATAACTAGTTATTTAAGTTATTTAAAATAAATATAAAAAGTAAACTTATATATTTAATTAATTAAGCTAGATTATTTATAGATTTTAATAATTTATTATAGATTATTTTATAAAATTAATAATTTATTATAATTAATAGATTAGTCTTATATTAATCTAGTTTAGCCTACCCTATAGGCCTATTATTATAACTATAAAAGGCAGGTTATAATATAATACTTTTTTTTTATTAGTTTTATCCCCAAGACCTTTATAAATTTTAATATAAATAATATATCCCCTATGTAATAAGTATAGTTATTTTTTAGTTCTTTTACTAATGATTTTTAGTTTTTTTTATTAACTTTATTATACTAGATAAGATTTTACAATTAGTTTATTTTAAAACTATATATTATAAGTTTTTATTTAAATTAATTATTGCTAGTATTAATAAAATAAATAAATATTATTTTTTTTATATTTTTAAAAATTATTTAAAATATTTATTATTTTTTATTAATTTTTTTTATTATTTTAAATATATTAGGTTAAATTAATTATATTATAATATTTAAAGTTTAACTTTAAAGTAATTAAAGTATATTATTATATATTATTTTTATTTAAAAAATAAGCTTAAAGAAGTTAAAAAAGAGCGTTAATATACTAATATAAAAGTTAAGTATTTTTATAAGCAGAAGAAAATATAATATAAAAAAATAAAATATATAGTTTTATAAGGCATTATAGATTTAAAGGAATTAAATTATATTAAGCATAAGGAGGCAGAGGCTGCTGCTTATTAGGCTATTATATTAGTATTTAGTTCTGCTGGCCTATTTTAATTTATTAATACTATTAATTAATTTATATTTAACCTAAACTTATTATTATTTTTATCCTTAAAGACTAATAATATTCCTGCAGGATTGCTTAAGTATTTCTTTTAAGTTTTTTTTAAAAACTTATAAGTTTTTAAATAAATTATATTTTTTTTATTTTATAAAATATTTTTATTTTTTTATTTTTTTATTTATTTATATATAAGTTATTTTATTAATTTTATATTTTTCTTCTTTATTTTTAATAATAATTTTATTTATAATTAACTTATTTATTTTTTTATTTATTAATACTTTTTTTAATAATAAAATATAAAAAACAGCTGTTTTTAATTTTATATTATTAAGTAGGTTTAATTTATAGTTAACTTCTTTAATTTTCTTTAAAATTTTAAATAGTTTAAGTTTTTTAAAATTTAATTTATTATTTAATTAATTTATTTTAATATTTAATAACTTTTTATTATATAAATGCTATAGTAAATAAACTATATACCTCTTTTAAAAAATTAATTCTTTAATCTTTATATAATTAGCTTATTGCTTTATATAATCTTAAATAAACTTAAGTTATTTCTTAAGTTTTTTCTATAATTAAATTATATCTTTAGCTAAAATTTAAATATTTTCTATATTTAAATTATTATAAAGTAATTTATAAGTTTTTAATATAAATCTATAATTAATATAAAATAATATAACTCCTGTAAATTATAAAATAAAACTATTATATTAATTTTATACTGCAAGGAGTTTTTTTATTTAATTATTTTATATAAGGTTAATATAATATTATAAGTAGGCAATTAATAAAAGGGTATAATATTTTTACTACAGGGGTATAACTTTAAGGGGGCATAACTTTTTATATTTTTTTATTAGCTAGAAAAAATTTATTTTTATAAGTATTTTTTAGCTTAAGCAGTAAAGCCAGCTGCTTTAATAGCTATTTTTATATTTTAAGGCCTTTTAAAAATAATTATTTATTAATTTTATAAAAGCTAATAATTATTTTTAAAAATATACTTAAGCTTTTACTTATTTTTAATTTATAAATTAAATATATTTTTATACTTTTTTTAATCTATAGGGTAAATAAGCTTTTACTATTACTTTAATTTATAAATTAAAAACGCCAGCCTATCTTTATTTATAAATTATCTTTTTTAATAAGCTTTTATTAATTTTTTATTTTTTAAATATTAGGTAGTATTCTTTAATTATTTAAGTAAACTTTTATTATTTTTTTAAATTTAAAAATTCTACTTACTTAATATATTTATAGTTAAGTTAAAGAGTTAACTAGCACTATATTATTATTTTATATACTTTCTTAGGCTTTTTTAGCAAGTATAGATTTATTTTAATTACCTGCTAGCTAGCTATACTTTTATAGGCTTTACTATATTTTTATTTAATTAATAGCTTAGCTAATTAATTTATTAAAAGCTTAGTTATTTATTATAATAGCTAGTTATATTAAAATAAATTACCTAGTGTTTTTTAGCTTTTTTTATAATATAGTAATAATTTTAAAATTAAAGATTTAATAGTATAGATTTATAAATATTAACTCCTGCAATAGCTAATATAAATAAATCTTTTATTTAATAAAACTAATTTTAAAAGCTAGCTTTTTATAAATCTTATAGCAGTAAAGGATTTTAAGTTTAATAAAAATAATATAATTATTATTATAATTATCTAGCTAAATTAAAAATAACTTTTTTACTATAAGTATAAACTTATATATTATATAATACTATTTATTAATAAACTTAAGCTTTTTTAATAATATTATAGTTAATAATTTATTAAAATATTTATTAATAAACCTTAAGTATTTATAATTAATTAAAACTTAATTTTATTTATATATATTTTTAAAATTATATTTTTAATTATATATTATATTTTATATTACTTTAATAAGCTAGTAAAGGTAGGCTATGCTATTTAAAAAATAGCTTTTTATATTATTATTATTTACTTTAATACTAAAGGTTATATAAATATTAAAATTATAGTAGTAGTAAATAAAGCAATATGCCTACTAGACCTTAATTAATAAATAAATACTATATAAATAATTTAAAATTACCTATTGGTTATTAAATTTTATATAGAGGTCCTTTTATACCTATTTATAGACTTTTTTTATTTTAATATAAAGTATATACTTTTATATAAGTAAAATCCTTTAATAAATATAAAAAATCTTTTTATTAACTAAAATATTAATAAGTTATTTATTTATAATATTAAGCTTTATTTATAATTATAAAAGGGTATTTTTATTATTACTACTACTAAAGTTATTATTACTTTTTTATACTTTTATTTATTTTTATTTAAACTTAAGTATAATATTTAAAAAAATATATTATATATAAAGCTACTGCTATATATTAAAGAACTAGTTATTAAAAGCAGCTTTTATTAAATTATTAAAATTAATAATAATAATCTTAAGCTTTTTAATAAAATATTAATTAAAAAGTTAATATATATTTTTAATAAAAAATTAAAATTCTTTTTTTTTTTTATTATTAATTAAACCCTATATAATATTATATATTAAACTAAAGCAGGTTTAACTAGTAGCTTAAAATAATAAAAGCTTAAAATAATTAATATTATAAGTATTATTAAAGCTTAAAACCTTTAAAACTACTTTTATATTTATAAATAATATAAAAATATTTATATAAAATTAAGCAACTAATTTAATTTATTATTAGCTTATTTAATAAAATATAAGATTTTTTTTTATTAAAAAGTTTAATTAATATTATAATAAATATATAGCTATTAAGCTTTTTATAGTTAATTTATACTTAAGTATTATAAATATTTTTTTATATAAATATAATATTAAAGTACTTTTATTTTACTATAATATAAATATTATATACTTAAATATTAATTTAATAGCTAGTTAATTTAATAATTATTTATATAGATATAGTAAGGCAGTAATATAAAGGGTATATAAATATAGTTATATTATACTTATAGTTATACTAGCTATAGTTTAAATTTTTATAATACTTTAAAAGCTACTTGCTTTTTTTTAAGGCTTTAGTAATTATTATTTATTTATAGCTATATTTTTATAATTTTTATACTTAAATATTAATACTTTATAATACTTAAGGCTATTTAAATTTATTATATTAAAAAAAGAATTTTTTTTACTGCCTTTTATAAAAATATATATTTTATTAAATAATTTTAAATTTATTTTTTTTTATAAAAATATTAATTATATTAAAAAAGACTTTAATTAAAGGCATTAAATTATTAAAAATAAGCAGGTTTAAAATTATATTAAAGCTAGGTAATATAAATTATTAAATAAAAAATAAATTAATATTTATTAGCTTTAGTAATATTTAAAGTAATTATATAAATAATAAGCAGGGTAGTAAATATAATAAAAGGGAATTATATATATTTAAGCTTAAAAGTAATTAACTTTATTTTTTTTATTATATTTATATATATTTAAATAATTAAGTAAAGTTTATAATTAACCTTTAACTTTTATTAATAACCTTTTATATAATATTTATAATAATTTTAAACTTAACTTTTATTTTTATTAATAATTAAAAAAAGAAAGGCAGTAATTTTAGTTTAAAAAAAAATAAATAAATATATTTTACTTTAGGCCTAGTATAGGCACTTTAACCTACTACTTCTGCAGTTATTTATAAAAAAAGCTGCTATAAAAATATATATTATAATTAAAGTAAAGGTTTTAAAAAGGCTTATAGGTATTTTATAAGCTATAAAGGAGTAGTAAAGTTAAAAATTTTTATAAATATATAATAAAGAGATTATTAAATATATTATAATTATTATATTTATAATATTAA